TTTCAATGGGTCCCCAAATGTCTTCTCTGAAGAGAGTGTCCTCCACATCTACCCCCAGGCCGTAATTTTGGCCTAAGTCTGACAGCAGCACCTGCGACCTCCTCTCCACCCAGGCTGCTGTACGTGCTGGGGACAGTTTACAATTTCCTGTCTCCATGCCTTTGCTCATGATATTTCCTACAGCTGGAAAGCTGCTTTTCTTCTACCCTCCCAGCCATGGCCTGACCAAAAACATATCCTTCCTTCAGAGTTCTAACACCACACTCTCCAATTAGTCTTCCAGGAGCCCACCCTCCCTTAGCACCCTGTGTTCACTTTGTGGGGCCTGGGCCTATGCCAGGGCCCTTAGTACATATGGCCAAACATGGAAAGGATGCATATGGTTCGCCTTTTTTGCTGCAATCCAGGGCACGGATGGCTCCTTGATTCTTAAGCTATAGAATGTTTAACTCTGAAAATGGAAAGTGTTTTTTAGTATAGAAAATATTCATGCCACCAGCAACTGGGATTACAAACAACATAAGATTAATCCCTACTGGGCTAGGTGTACAATATAGAGATGAGAAAGACAGTCAAGGTACACACCCTTTTCATCCTCTCCTCCCACAGGCTAATAACATACATGCTGAAGGTACCTCTCCTCTCTACCAAGCTGAAGCAGATCACATGGTCTTCTCTCTAATGTTAGATGTCTCTGAGATAGGTCACTGAGTAAGCACTCCCTGTCTACAATCCGATGCTGGCTGATTTGTCATGAATAACAGTAGACAGAGCTATACACAAAGGCCAGCCAGGATTCAAGGGACGATCATCTAGGGGTCAGACATGGAAAGTCTTTGATTCAAATAACACAGACATGTGCTCAGTGTGAAAGAAGATAGGTGTCACTGTCATCAGAGTAGTCCTCTCAAGATTTTGAAGAAAATTGCAATGTATGGGGGGAAAAAATTGAACAAAAAATTATTTTTGGAATGCCCATGAATTTTGTATTATTTGCAACATGGGTTCCCTTCTTGGTGATTTAAGGTTCAATTCTATTAGGTCTCCTATTTTCTCAAGCATTATCTTAACATCGAAGGTCATGTAATTCATCGATCCTAAGATTATGCAGCAGTGCTTAGTAACCCAAAGGCCTGACTGCCTATCATCTCAGAAGCTCAGCCACTGGGACACTTGCTCTGATTTACACAAACATACTAAAGCCCAAGACTCTGATGTGGATTAGGCCAAACAGTGTCTTGAGAGAGAAGAGGAATTTGAGATGCTCAGCAAAGATCTTTTACCATATCTTACTACTAATTACACATCTTATAAACGTATTGAAGAAAGGAAGAATGGGAGAAAAGTAGTAACTACAGGATATTTGCACAACCATGACACTAAAGTATTTGACTTGCAGTTATTCTCTTGGGTACCAATGAGGTTAATCTGAAATACCCAGTCAACTAAACTTTGATATAATAGTTGATTTTCCACAATCAACAGCTACTGTTCTCGGAGAAAAGCCAGATTTAGCTGCTGTGTAATAAACACAGAAGCCAAAAGAACTATGGAAAGCTGTTTATGTCCATGCCCACCAGAAACCTGTCTCCAAAACTACACAGAATAATCCAGCTAGGATGGAAGTCTCCTCAACAAAGTTTTAAAAACAGAGGAAATACATCCTTTAAACTGGGCACCGCCCCTCAACACCTCCCAGTTTTTCAATGAAAAGAGTTCTTCACAAGATAGATGATAAGAAACCAGTCATTTCTTTTTACACAGATCTGGTATATTTACAAGCAGAAAATAATTCTGTACCTTCCACAGCACTTAGCTACTTCAGGTAGCTAGGACCCTTACCTAGCTGAAAGTACTTGGGCTACATGGGAAAAACAGTCATTTCCAAGTGTTTTTATACATGCTTGGCAGATACCATCTCATTTAAATTCTCAAAACAATTCTAGAGGGTAGAAGGATTGCCCTATTTCACAGACACAGGCAGTTAAGGACAGGGAGGCTAATAATTTGCTGAAGGTCCCATAGCAGGCAAGTGACAGAGGAGACGAGAGCCACTTTGCTCTCAGGCAGAGCAATAACCAAAGGTCTGCAAACATCTTATTAAGACTGTAGCATCTAGGAACACCAAAGAAACACCATTTTAGAATAGATAATTCTTCAGTCCTTATCAGGATATGACCCTGAACTTCCCAATGAACAGCTCAAAGCATACTGCACAGTTAGAAGAGGTCGTCAAGTACTATAGTTACCAGTAAGGCCAGGAATAGAACACAGGTCTGGTGACCTCCACGCCATGCCCAGTTGGGCATGTTCTTTTGGATGCTGACACCCTTCTGAAGTTTCAAGTCAGTTGAGAATAGCAAAGAAATGAGTTAATAATTTTAGTAAATAGAAGAGAATGTGGAGAGTATCTAGATTAGAGGGATTTGACCACATGAAGATTTCTACCAAGGAAGCTCTGAACCAAGGACACTAGTACCTGCAAGTTTTCTCATTTTCTGCAGCAAAAATGAAAAATAACCTTTGCCCTCCCCACCCTAGGAGTTGTGAATGATTAGCCTGGCTATGTTGATAACTAAGGAAAATATAAAATGAGTGCCTTTCTCTCAGATGATTAGAATACTTACAGATTTACTCTTACCACCAAACTCCTCCAGTTCTAGGCAAAAGACAACAGAACACTAGGAATGTTTAGCCAACGTCAGCCATAATAAACCCTCCAGTGCTGCAAAAACTCTCCTATTAGCACCAACGATCGTGCCCTGATGAAGAGGTTGGAAACAGGAAGGCTGCTGGGTGCCAAAAGGGAAAGTGAGGAGAGAAGCAACATGGCTGGAAAACAGGGATGGCAGGGAGTAATGGGGAGGAAGGGTCTCAGGACAGAGGTGCCTAGAAAAGACTGGGGAAACAGCTGGAAATGCTGGTGTATACCAGCAACTTCTCTGTGGGTGAGGAAAGACTACTTACTTATTGAATTGACATCATCAGTAAGTATAAGGGACAGCCAAGAGCAAGAAAAAAAATAAATAAATAAAAAGGAGTGGAAGATCCTTACCTAGGCTAAAAGTTATTCAGATCCACAATCACAGCTACTGTGATATCTCTAAAGAGATAAAACGCCAGATAAAATTGTCTGGTGTTTCCCAAATGCTGGACGGCAGTTTTCAGATTTGATGTTTAATCTTACTATTATACATTTATTTTTTAAAACAGAAAGATAAAATAATTGTCAAATCATGTCTTGCATCAAATTCTTCATGGTTTGCAACTTCTAGCAGAGCACAGGGAGAGATAAAACTGGAGCTGAGAGATTATAATCTGGCCTATCACATCAGACCACACCTATTCATGGATCTCATTTTCACTCTAATTTGGCCAAGCCAAAATTCCTATACTTGGGTAAAACATTTTAGTTTCAGAAAAGTACATATCAAACTTCAAATAATTGAAATTCACAGAAAACTTAAAGGTATTTCCTTCACTGTGTCACATTAAATACCTCTTTCTAAACTGTTCTGGGAAGACCAAAAAGGAAAAAAAAAAAATTTGGTTACATAGATCAGTTACAACATATATTTCGGTTCAATGTCTATAAACAATTCCCTCTCTTTTTAAACCATTCTCAAAATGACCCCTCTCACATATTTAGATGTATAATAAATATTAAAAGTTCAATGTAAGTATGAGTGGTGGATGCAAACCAATTTATATAAGCCAATACTTGAAATCTCAGAACCTTTCTTCCCTACTATGAGTTACTGCTGTTCACACAAGGTACCATACAGAAAAAGTGTCTAGAAACAGTTTACTAAAGAAAAAAAGAATAAAACTCAGAATAAAAGAAACCAAACTGAATAAGAGGAAATCAATCAACAACACTCAATTAGAAAACTAAAAACCAAATCAAACCAAAACAACCCAGCCCTTTCCATAATGGATATTCTCCATCTGTCTTTTCCTCCTTCCACTCAGGGAGGGCGGGGGTGGAATGAAAGCAGCTCAAGGTCTAAATATTCACCCTCCATCTCCAAGGCCTGAGAAGCACTTCCGGTAACTTGGCTCTGTGGAGGCCACAGACACTGGGACTTGCCTGGTCCCACTCCACTCCCAGCCTCCCCATTCCCTGGCTTAGCCAAAAAAAGAATTCCCCAGCCCCCTCCAATTCCACCTGGAGGGAATTCAGTTAAAAGAGACTGAATCTCCCGCTAGCATTCTCTTCCTATAACGTCACTCTGAACTTCCTTAGCAAACTCTCCTACCCCAAGTTTAGCAAGAGATGGGACTCTTGGCTTTGTGAAGTATCAAAGGAATTTGCAAAAGGCTCATTTAAGCAATTATTAAGAATCTCTGTGTATCTGTCCAATGAAAAGTAGAAAGTTTTATTTAACATTATTTACTTAAGTAATCTCTAAACCCAGCGTGGGGCTCGAATTCACAACCCTGAGATCAAGAGTCGCATGCTCTTACCGACTGACTCAGCCAGGTGCTCTCAAAGTCCAAACTTTTAAGGCTGGGAAATCAGAGTTAAAACGACTCTTCAAAATATAAGCAACATTAAAGAAAAAGTCTCCATAGAATTCAAAGTATAGCAAGCCACAGATCTCTTCATTCTATTGTTTGGTTGATGATTTCTGTCAATAACCAAATCCAATTGGTGGTAAATGACATTTCCTATTTCAGCCACTGTATTTACAATTAGATGTTAATGGTTCAACACCCCAGACAACAAACTCTCTGTTGTCAAAGACCTTTCTGTTTTTAAAAGGGAAGTCCATCATCTTGGTGGGGGTAAGCACAATCTGTCACTTCACTATCTAAAATCAGGAGCTAAAACTAAAAGTAAAGGAAGTAAAATGAAGAAGATCCTAAGGACCAGCCAGAAACTGAGCACAGCACAGCGTTAAAGGAAACCATTTCATAAGATCAAATGCGGAGAAGCAGCAGGGGCAAAGAGGGAAAAAAAAAAAAAATCAAGTTACATAAAGTCCAATTGTACTCACGGTTTCCTTATTGGGAAGCAGTTCCTTTCTAATTCTGAAGAAGTTCTTGCCGTACTGCCTGAGCCCCTTAACGAAGCGTTTCTGTGATAAAAAGAAACAACAAATGGGATGTAAAAACCAAAAACAAAACAGGATGTCAGCAAAGCAAAGATATCTGCAATCAGCAGAATAACCACCGCAAAAAAGTCTGAGCTAGGGAATACTGACGAGGCTGGGAGACCATTTCAGCAGCACCACTGGGCCCCTCCGGCCAGGGCAGGCCCCGGAGAGCCTTTGTCGGAACCCTGATGGCACACACCACACAGGTTTGGGAGGAGGATATCCTGGGTCTGAGGCTAAGAAGCAACGTGTGCCCTCCGTGCCTCGGTCTCCACATCAGTCCACGAAGGTAGAAACAAATATGCTCCTGCTTTCAATAACAGCACAACTGCTTTCCACCTGAGAACGAAGCTTCCCAGAGTGTTGAGCAGAGGGGGGATAATCAAACCTGGAGACTTTTCTCCAAAAGGTCACTCAGGAGGGGTTAAGAGGCCCTTTGGTTAATCTGAGGACGTGGTCAAGGAGGCACCGATACCGCGGAAGCCCAGTGGGAGCCGGCACCCCCCCCCCCCCCCCCCCCCCGGCCTGCCCCGCCATCGCCTTCACGAAGAGCCCCTCGGAGGCACCGAATCATCCTTCGCGCCCCCTTCCTCCTTCCCCACGCTCTGCACCACAGCCACCCCCCAGCAGTCTGGAGACTTTCACTTTGTCCCATTCCCCCCCCCCCCCGCAACCCCGCCCCGGCCCCGTGGGGGGGCAGCTCCCAGCTCCCCGGCCCCCGGCCCCCACCTCGGAGCCCCGGGCCTGGTCCCGCGCGGCCGACCCCCGCCACACTTCCGCAGCCACAGGTACGCCGCGCCGGCCGTCCTCGGGTCCGGGCGGCGAGAGGCCGCGCCTGTCACTCGGCTAGGGCTCCGGCCAGGGCTCCGGCCAGGGCTCCGGCCAGGGCTCCCGCTCCACAAAGCGCAGGGCGGAGGCGGCCGGGGCGGCTCGGCGTGTGACCGCGGCGGGGCCGCGCGGCGCGGGGCGCGGGGGGCGCGGGGCTGGGGCCGCCACCGCTGCCGGGGGAGGAGGCTGGAGCGCGGCGCGTAGAGCCCCGCGCGGCCGCGGGCGGCTGCAAAAGGCGGCCTGGATCGCCTCGCCGCCCGTCGGCCCCGCGCTCCGTCCCCGCCCGGCCCCCGGCCCCCAGCGCCCAGCGCCCAGCCGCGGCTCCGCGGCTCCGCGGCCAGCGCCTCCGGGACCCCGGCGCTGTTTATCTCGGGGTCCTCCCTCTGAACAGCAGGAGTAAATCCAGGCAGCAAAGCGCAGAAACTTCCTCCCTACCACGGCAAGCGTGAGCAGAGGGCACCGTGGGGCCGGGGCCGGGGCCGGGCCGCCACTCGGGACCCTTCTCAGGCCGCTCCGGCTCCAGTCCTCCTCCTGGGCCGGCAGAGTCAGCAGCGCGACAGCCACATGCCTACCGCCCCTGGACTGCGAAATGGGGGGCTGGCCCCTAAGACCCTCGCGGTCCCTTCCGGCCGGGATTGTGGGCGGCAGCTCCACCCGGCCCAGGCATTAGCCTGCACCTCGCAGGGCGCCGTTTCACAACTAAATCACCGCGGAAGCTTCCCAGCCAATAAATCACCTGCCCACCGGGAGAAGAGTCCCTCCCACTCCCGGTGTTTGAGACCAGTCGGGCAAATTCAGCGAAGAGCCAGACTTGGCCTGCAAGACCGATCTGCAACCTCCTACTCCATTCCTGGAGGCTCTGCATTTTCAGATCTCACCCCCTTTCTAAGATATGACTCATCATTGTCAGTTTCCAATATAATTCGAATAGTTCAAAGGAAAAATCTGTCAAGGCGCAAGAAAGAAGCTCTCCTCTACTGTGAAGACTGACCTTTCTGACTTGAATGATCAACATGCATCCTGAGCTCTGTGCAGAGCATACCCTCTGGGGATGCTGGAAGGCAATGAGACTTCCCTGCCCTCAAGGCCCTCCAGTCTGGCAGGCAGGCAGGCAGGTGAAGGGATCAATTTCCTGGCCCTCGGAAAAGCAGTAGAGGGACAAAGGCTATGAGTCGGACTAGGAGAAGGAAGCAATTTACTCTGCTGATGTATTGGAGGAAGTGACAAGGAAGAACAAGCCTGCCAGGTGGGCTCCAGCAGGGTTTCCAACACAGGAGTCAGCCAGGAAGGGCATACAGAACATTCTGGGAACTGCAAGGAGGACAGGGTATACAGAATGGAGTGCCAGCAGATAAGACTGAAGAGGCAGGAGAGGATCAGGCTGCAGAAGAGTCTCTTTAGTAACTGTAAGCCACAAGAGAAGTCAAAGCATGAGTGGTCCACGGAAAGACTGGGTAAGGGCTGCTTACCAGTGTGGTTGGCCTATGTCATGGATAAGGGACAAACTGGCTGTAACGCAGAGATTAGGTAAGGAGGCTGGTGAGGTAACAAACCGAGGTGTGAGAAGAGAATGGCCAGAACTCCACCTCAGCCATAAGAATGAATGCTTCTTAACCCACTCTTTAAGTATTTACTGAGCATCTAGCCCTGGGAGGGATTTTTTTTTCTTAAGGGGGCAGCCATGGACCCTTTATTAAAACTATGATTCATTTTTAGCAGGTAAGATAAATGTGTGTGAAGTCATTATAGAACAATCTGAGACTTCATTCAGCTAAGAATAAAGTAGTGAAGTGTAACTCATCAATGCAGCAGGGGGACCAGGAAGAGGGATGGCATAGTAGTCCAGGATACCTTCACCAAGGCAGCAAGATGAGTCAGACCACAAAGAACCAACAGCATTTGCAGAGGTGGAGGGGGGTGGGAAGGCCTTCCATGAAACACAGAGGTGGAGAATGGAAGTGGGTTATAGGAGAGAGGCTATACAAAGTTGAGGTGGGTGATCTGGCATGAGTCAGATCGTGGAATGCCAGCACTATGCAATCCGAATATAAGCTTGTGCCAAAGGACACAACAGGCTCACCAGGAGAGACTGGCACAATGAAGGCAGCAGCTGAGAGGCCAAATCTGAAACATCAGGGTAATGTGATAGATTTGGGCAAACTTGAATTCAAGTCCTGGTTCTACTTGTAATGATGTAATCACCAAATATTATGCATTTAACTAGTGGTTATTAAATATGCCTGCTATATGCTAGGAGCCTCACGTATATTAATTTAAAACCTGCACAACCTTGGAGGAAGTACTATTACTACCTACATTTTCCAGACAAGGAAGCTGAGACACAGATGGTTAAGGAACCAGATCAAGGTCATCTAACTCTTCAGGGCAAGGGCAGAATGCAAAGCAGGATCCAAACTCCATGTCCTGCAGTGGACATGGAGATAAGAGTCTACAGAGGTTGCCGCTTTTGGTCATGGTACCATTACCTGCGACTGCGCTTTCCTGCTGGCCTCAACATCATGTCACCAAGTCCTCAGCATTCTTCCTAAGAAAGGTCTTTCAAAGCCCTCCTGTCTTACCCATTCCAGTGCTAGTCCCAGGCCAAGCCCTGATCTCTCTCTCCTACTAGTTAGGCTAATAGCTCATCCCCCACATCTGGTCATGTATAAGCTTCTACTAATGAATTCTTCAAACTACACATGTCATTGTGAGTCCCATACTGTCTTGCTCCCAGCCCCGACCTAGGAATAGCTCCTTGACCTCTTTAGAATGGTTTTTACACCTGTTATCTCTTAATTCAAAGACCCTCTAGGATCTTGTCTCTGCCTACCTTTCCAACCAGATATCCAGAAATGGCAACTGGCCCACTGCACCTTCTGTTGAACTCTATAGACACTGGGGCATCTTTTCTACTATTTCCACAGACAACCCAAGATACTCTCAGTTTAACCCCAAACCCAAGCTCAACCCCCACCCCCTTTGGCAAAACTTCTCTGACCATTCTGCTCCAATCACATGGCATTTGTTTATTTGTATAAGGTCTCACTTACACATAGAATCTGTGAGCCCTGAAAAGACAAGAACTGTATCTTCTATCACTTTGTCTCCCGATAGCATTAGGCAGTCAGAGCTCCTCAGTTTTGGATGCAGAAGTGAAACAAACCATGAGATGACAAGGCCTGGGCTTGAGTGGTCAAGGTGGAAAGAGACTGGTAAAAGTCAAAGGATCTGTCCTGAAACCTAACAACAGAGTTGACCTTGGCTCCACGGCACCAAACTCTCCTGGTTTTCCTCCTATCACCTGGCTTGATTTTTCACTCAACTTTTAAATGTTAGGGCTCTTTCCACAGCTTTGTTCTAGGCTTTCTGCTTTCCAAACCCCCTCCCAATGAGATCACTGCTCCTCTGGCTTTCAATATCACCCAAGATTCTCCCTACTATTTCTAAAAGCTAAATCTATGGTCCAGGTCTAGCGGGAACACCTGCTTGAATATCTCATACACATTTCAAACTAACTACTTCCAGAAATATAAGTTCAACATTGGTAGTAAACACAGACCACCACTGTCAATGTGCATCAATGACTGTGTTATCAAGTGCAAAAGTACCATTGGCCCCACTTAAAAAAAAAAAAAAAAAAAGGAAGTAAAAGCTTCATGTGGCCTGTACTGTTACTTCTCTATGGAAAGCCACAAGGCCTCAAAACTGGCAAAACATCTGCTTCTCAGAGACCAGCCTTTACCTTGTGGTTTACCAGAAATGTAGAGTAGCCTTTAAAATCGAAACAAAGCCAACCCACTCAGAGCAGTCAATGATGAGAATAGGTCAGTATGTTAAGTGGGTTTCTGAGGCCTTAGACTCCTTCCCTCTATTAATTCATCTCTCTTCAAATGAGGACCCTGAAGGTTTTCAAGCTTTAATTTAATAATTAACACTATTGACTTAAAAACAGATACTATACACTCCTAAATGAAAATTCATAGACACAGTCTGTTTCTTAATAGCCTTCTAGTAGTTGAACTGAAATTCAGCATGTCCAGTGATGAAATTCAAGCCTTCATGAATTATTTCTATGCCCATTAGCTTTTCTGTCCCTGGCAGTGCACAGATATTAGAATGCTAGGATGCTGGGGGTGAAGGAGAAAGAAGACTGT